TCATGCTTCCCTTATTCTGCCACTTCTCTCTAATGTCATGAAACAGTAGGGAAAAAACTGGGTGACCCTCTACTATTTATGGAGAAGTATTAACTAAAGAAAATCTTAAGTTTTGTTCAGACAAGGTGAAGTCTGCTTTTTGCTTTGAATGTTGACTGTTAACTATCTGACAATATTTTCCTATTGCTCGTATCACCATATTCAGTCTCAGTAAAGCATTTAACTTGAAAGCCTTTACCTCTGTCTTTCCCATCATCTAGCCTTGGTCTAATCCCTTTAATGAGCCCTCACAAGTTATCTGTCTGAGGTACTTATGAAAAGCATGTCTAGGTGTTCATGCTTTTTAGCAGTGTCTGCTAACCATATAAACGAGGTTGAATGCTCCAGAAAGCAGAATTTAAGGGACCTTTTCTTTTTAAGAAACATGTTCTTAAATCCTTGTAACTGAAAAACTCTGCTATATAATGCTGGGTGCATAACAAATAAAATTACAGAGCCTCAGTCTACTGAGGATGACCCTTTTTAGTGTTGTTACATCAAAATGGGGATCCACTTGAGTAAAAACTTCAGTATTCCTTTATGTAAAGCATCTCTGGACACTGGGAGTGGAGCTGGGAGGGAACTCTTCACCATTCTGTAAAGTGCAGGGCTATACTGGGAGAAGGAGCAGGCTGGTAGTACAGACTTGTACTGTGAGACTAGGTTTGTTACCTGTGAAGATTTAAGCTTGGTCAGTGGTGCCAACAAACCTTTTCAAGTGTTTGAAAACATTTTACTACTAACATCCCATCTGAAATCTGTTCCTTCTCAAAGATATTGGACATTTCTCTTTGCTGGTGATGGGAGAACCCTTTCTTTTTGGATCAAAGATGAGAGTGCTACTTCCTGTCTGCTGTGGTTGGTACTAGTAAGTTGTGGTATAATCTTTGTTTGGCTTAACTTGCAGTAAAGAGTCACTGCTGATCATTAAGAAGAGAGTGTAGTCCCAGGCAAGCCTCTTGCTGTTGAGGTACCAGAGAGGTGGTAGGTGTGGGGGCTGGTCAATGATTCTTATTAGCCAAGAATGTGTGATAAACCAGTGCTGTTACTGGCTGGCTCATAGGCTTGACAGGCTGTCTTTCGTAGATTGCAAAATCTCTGAATATCAAGTGTTTAACTTGGGATAAATTCCACTAGATGTTTAGGATTTTGAGAACCTGCAGTTTAGATGGATCCCATCTGCCCAGTACTGAAGGACTGCTATACTCAATCAAGCAGTGAATAGTTGTACCGTAATCCAGTGAGTGAAAAGGAATAAAAGATACCAGGTACTCCACACAGGTCAGATATTTTTAGTTTATCTGCCTGTGCTTGAAAGAAAAACTTCAAGAGTTTGAATGTGTTTGAATGGAATTGGTGGTAAAGGACACACTGGGTGCTGTGACCAAGTCTAACCATCAGAGTGCTTCTCAGAAAGATGCTGGGTATGAAGGCATCCTTTGAGGTCTTGTCAGAGGGCAGATCGCTCTCCACACTCCAACTAATGTATGTCCCAACTAATTCTGCATTTCTGGATGTTCGTGGAGACTCAGAGTTCAGGCTAGACAAGAGCGAGTGAATCTTAAATTAAAGACCACCTGGAAAAATGTAAGCTGCTGTGTCTTTATGCTGCCCCTGTTCTGTGCCCAAATTTAAGAGTGGGATCTGGATCAAGCCTGGTTTAAAAATAAGAAATGTTTGAATTGTCTGGATTGATCTCATTAAAACTGCTTACGATGGGCCACTGAGAGGCCCCTAGTTCTAAATAATAGATCGTATGGCTTTTTACAGAAAAACCCCCCATTGCACTGTAGAAGTACTTAAGACCAAGTGGCACCTGACTGCTAATTGATATGTAGTTTTACTCTTTTGAAGACTTCAGAACCCGTCTGCGTTTTCCAAATGTCTGTTGCAGAGTTACAGTAGTTTCCAAGATTGCTTCACACTTTTAAGATTGAACTCACACGGGAAGTTAACAAGGCAAACCAGTACTGAAGATTTAAACCACTTCCTTTTTTGTGTGTATACATTGGTAAAGCAGTTACTTAAATTCAAACTGCAGTAGTAAGCTTTGAATCTCCACATATGAAAGCATGTTTTAAAACCCTCTCCCCACCCCAGAAAGCAGACTTTAAAATAAAATTCTTTTTCCACCATTTTGATGATGACCTACCATTTGGATACTTTTAATCCTCAATCTGTGTAAAAGTTATGTCTTGCATTAAATCCTTTATGTTTTTTCTTTCCCCTGTGGATTTTTGAAGTAATCCTCTGTGTACCATATAGCTTGTTCTTCAAATTGCTTGTCTACAATCTCTTCATTTCTAGGAGTCCTATTTAGAAAGCTTTAAAATATTAATTGATTTTAAACAAAATTCAGCTAGATATAAATTTCTGACCAGAATTCTGTGTTACACATTTTGCATCTCTATATTCTTATCCCATTGAAACTGTTTAGTACTTTCCATAATTTAGTCAGTGAATGAGTCAAATGGGGCACTTGGCAGAGGAGTCAGTGATGTACTTGGTAATGAGTAAGAATCTTTTTATAATGGCTTTCACTGGGGTTTTTCTTTCCTCGTGAGGATTTTATGGGAAGAAGGAATCAATTCAAAAGGGAACATGTGTATTTTTGTAATTGTGGCAGTGGATAGATATTGCTGGACTGTTAGTGGTGTACCAAAATACGCTTTCCTTTCTGTATCTCATGTTGCATACATTTGACATATTTTTTCATCATAACTATGTGCCTTAAGTGTATAACACGTAGTGAGAGTCCAGCGTTTCTTCTCTGGCTTACCCTGGGTCTTTTTCAGTGTTCTACTTGAGAAGAAAAAAACCAACCGAACTAAAAATCTGATTAAAAAAAAAATAAAATCTGAAAGTGCTTAACATTGGCTATGCCTTGATATCTTTATTTAACCATGTAAGGATTTATCCCAACCCCTGAAATATGTCAGGACTTGCTTTCATTTCACTGTGAAAGCTGAGTCTCATCCTCACTGTTTGTGTGGTAATCCTCAACTTCCTTCTTATTCCTGTATAGGTCACACATATTGTTGACTTGAGCGAGGAGTTCTTTTGCCACAGGATGGATTCAGCGATCCTGTTTGTGTAGTGCAGCACCGCAGATGGTGTGCTGATGTAACTGGTGGCAGTGGTAAACTGCAGTGTGCGCGCAGGATTGCGTAGCTGATGTGTGGAACTGAGATCTTCGTAAGGTGCTTTTGTTGCTCAGGCTAATGCAATGTGTAAATACATTCTCAATCACCGTGACAGCGCTAGAGGGTTTAAGTTCTATATAAAGTTCTGGTCACCTTGTCCTACAAGTGCTCTGTGATGTCTGTTCTGTACTGGTTTTAATCTAGTGCTAATAGCTCTAAAGCAGATTTAGTTTCCTGAACCACAGGTATAATTGAGTAAATCACTGTTTATTGAAGCTCCAGAATCATAGAACGGCCTGGGTTGGAAGGGGCCTTTAAAGAACGTCTAATTCCAACTTCATGCCATGGGCAGGAACACCTTGCACTAGACCAGGCTGCTCAAAGCCCCATCCAACCTGGCCTTGAACACTTCCATAACTTCTCTGGGCAACCTGTTCCAGTGTCTCACCATTCTCACAGTGAAGAATTATCTCATACGTCATCTAAACTTAGCCTCTTTCATTTTAAAGCCATTCCCCCTTGTCCTATCACTACATGCCCTTGCAAAAAGTCCTCCAGCTTTCTTGTTGACCTCCTTTAGTGACTGGAAGGTGCTATGAGGTCTCCCCAGAGCCTTCTCTTCTCCAGGCTCCTGTCTTCATAGGAGAGGTGCTCCAGCCCCTCTTATAATCACTGTGGCCCTTCTGGAATCCCTTCAGTAGATCCATGTTCATCTAATATTAACTTAGGTTAATAGGATCCTGTCTGACGTAAATGTGGTCGGGATTGTGAAGCTGTGTTTCGAAGCACTTTTCCCCCTTAGAGTACACCTATCCTGGTAATGAGAATGAGAATTACTTCTATGTACATGAGTCTTTTATAATGTCTAACTTCAGAACAGTTCTTTTTTTAAGCACATAAACGTTTAAGTGAGGACCAAGATCTTGGCCAAGTGGTAGATTTTGTTAGTAAGTTAACTAGAGGGCAATATTGTATCTGGAATAGGTGGTTATTGCACCAAGTCTTACTGGAATTGAGTTTTTGGGTGCCATGATGTTAAAGCTCTAATACTTTGCTCTTCTAGATGCTTTGGCTTTCTTATAAATGCTGTTTTATAATTGTGTCCTTCAAAATTTTTTTCTCTTGTAAATTTCAGCAAGTTCATCAAGAAATGCATAGCAGAAACCTTTAAAAATATGGCTAATACTAAAAGTATTAGTCTCCTATCAGCAAGTGATCTAGTTTAAAGAATGCTTTTGAGCAGTTCTTTTAGAAAGGGCATTTATTTCTTAACCACAAACCCCCTTAATTTATATAAATTTAGCGTATGAATAAATGTTAATCTATAATTCAGAATATTCTCTTGATGCTAGGGACTGTAATAGTTTAATGGAAACATCTCAATACTTATTTTTTCAAGAGATTCTCATTGCTTTTTTTAGTCTGTTTGTTTTAGTGGGTTTGTGTTTAGTAATATTTAATTTGCTGTGAAATATCTCAGAGGGACTCAAACCTACTGTTTTATTGTGCTTTACTATAGATCATTATCTCATTTTTCCATCCCTACAGTCTTCAAGTGGGTGTTACCTCCTCTGCAGATATTTCCAGTTAAATAAATGGCATTGATTATAAAATAACACAAACTATTTTCTTACCTTGAAAAAAATTAAGATTTAACATGAAATGTTTAGCACAGAAGAGTTAAAACTTTCTAGGTTATACTCATACATGTTTTACTAAGCTTTTTTAGCTGATCAGTGAACTGAAATCCATTTTTAATGCATATCTTTAATAATTCTATTACTGGAAGACTAAGTTAAAATTTGTCTTTGTTTGCAGAGAAGGCCACCTGAGCGGGCTAGCAAGTTACAGAACAGCTGTCTCCTAAAAGGTATAAACAGTGAAGATTTTCTGTGTGCTCCTTTTTAAATGGTAAGTTGTTCAAGAGAGCTCTTACTGAACATTCCTTGTCACTTACTTTGCATTTGTGTGAATCTATTACAAACAGCTTTGAAGACTGTGGCAAGTCCCTTGAACTGAAGACCATGATGAATTTTGGAAACTGTTCAGAAGGTTTTGAGTTAGCCTTGGGAAGGAGGTCTGTATTTTTCTGAAGATGTGCTATATTTGACCCTGAAACAAATGTCAAAAGCATTGCTAGGTCAGGAGACTAGTAGCAGTTAAATACTAATCTTATTGTGTACAAAACAGAAATAAATTTACTTTATTCATGGTTGTTCATGAGATACTGGATTTATAAATTTGCATCTGTTAATTACTTTTACCCTGTATAATCTGTACTTTGTGGATGTATTGTCTAAGAGATTTAAACTCAATCTGCTGAGGTTAAATATTTGTTTGCCTCAAAGTGCAACGGATAATAAAAGATTTATATTTATTGATATTAAACGAGCTTTGCGGGGAGATGTCCCTCTCCCCCAGTCTGTCTCAGCTACCACATTCCACACCGTAGACTTTTAGGTGAGGAATATCTGTTGTGTTGGTCACTGTGTGACGTAAGACGTGGGACACACTGGGAGGTGCTCATGAAGGACTGCTGCCAAATTTTGTTGGAATAAGTAAAGCTGATAAGCATATATATTTAAGCATATTATATTTTGGGGGCTGCAGTGTGTTGACTTCTGCGGTGGGAAAGAGAAACTTTTTGAGCAATGGAAGAAACTGGAGAGCAGGTTTGTTGTTCTTGCTTCTGTGAGGGTGAGGTTAAAAGTAGTATTATCTACTTGTTGGACAGACTTGTTTTCTTCCTGCATTGCACACCACAGTGCTGCCTTTGTCAGAAACCACTCCCAGCCTTGCTTCAAGGTCTGTGAATAACAGCAAAGTGTGCAGCAGTGCTTTAGGACACTGTTGGCTTTGCCTGGAGAGCTGGCTTTGTCTGTAACGCTGGCTATGGTCCTTTGCCACACTTTGTCCCCTGAGCTGAAATTCGCATATGCTTATTTTAATTTTGAGTTCTGATTATATTCTCCATGATATTCAAGGTGCTTATCAGCATATATGTTCTGAAAGAGATTGCATTTCAAGTTACGAAAAAGAAGACTTCTGGAAAATGTATGCATTCACAATGTCAAGTAGTAAACTTTCCTTGGAGGAATGAAGGGATCAGTAAGCAATATGGTTGGTGCACACAGAAATGTGAATGTCATGGCAACAACCTTTTAAGAAAAAGAATGAAAAAACCCCATTCTTTCCCCCTTTAACCCTCTTGCATTCCCCATTAAATGGTAAGATAACTTGATGGTTATATATTGAAATGGTTGGAAAAAAGGTCACTTGCTGTAAATTTCAAAAGCAGAGAAAATGTATCAGGGAAAGTAGTCTGCAAAAAAATTGGTAATCCAGATATGAAGACTGAAAATACACCTCACTACTAAGTTATGAGATTAACATATTGCTTATTATTTAATAAAGCAGTGAATGTTACACCAGTGTTATATTTCAATTGCATTTCATGACGCATGGAAGAGTCATTGCTTTTATTCATGGGAAGCTGTAGAAATTAGTTATTGCAGGAATAAGAATGTAGGGTTTGGAATATTTTATCTAGGTTATATTTATTCAAAAAACTCCCAAGATTGTTTTGAAATATTTTCTGTTTATACTCAGTGTATAAATATTTTCTGTTTCTTTGTGCAGGTTAAGCACAACTTTCATGTAGAGTTTAATTGAAATGTCTAGTGTTAATAGTCTGAAGTTTAATGTAGCTGAAGGGTATTTAAAGACAATGTTCAACATACTTGAAAATAATCAGCCTTTGTTTGTTTGGTTTTTTTTTTTAAGAAATATTGAAACCTGATTTTAGTAAACAAATTCTAATTTTTGGTTGAACATTGATCATTCTTATATCACAAACATTTTAATTGGACATACAATATGGAAATTCTACCTGGTGAATAAAAGGGGAAACTTGTACTTAAAATAATGGTTGATTTGTACAGAAATGTAGTATTTTTTCTTTTTAAATTTCTGTTTCAAAGACTTTCACTTACAAGTCATAATTAAAAATTTAAATGGCTTAATTCACCTGTTCAGCATGCATAGTAAGGCGTTTTAATTTTAAATTAAGTTACTTATTTCGTCACTTGGATTCTAATTGTGCCTTGTCTTTTCTTGCTTTTCTGGATTTCCTACTGTGTTTTGCTAATATAAATGCCCCCCAAAATATTAAAGTTGCTAAAAATACTATGTTAAATGTTTGTGAAAGCTTCTGATTGCTTAACATGCCATCCTGCATGAGTAGCATGCTCTAGCTTTTCCAAACTCCATTATAAACCTACAATACTACTGTACAAAAGTGTCTTTCACAAAGAAAGAGTGTCTAGTCAGGAAGGAAATACCAGATGTAGAACTTGAAAACAGACCCTGATGCCTACGAGCCCCAATAATCAATGCACTAGACTGGTGGAAGAATCTTTTGTCATCACATGCAATCAATTCTAAGAAACACACCTGAGTAGTTAGTTTGACAAATAAAAATGTTACATAATCAGTTACATGTTTTATAGAAAGATGTTAAAATTGTTTGTGATTGCTGTGTGGACAAGACTGTTCCAGTCTTTAGAAATACTTTTATTGGAAAAGCAAGTTAGATATTTTTAGTCAGGGTTAAACAAAATTTACCTGCAAAGACTTCTACCTGTGCTGTCTGACTCTTCAGTTATGTGTAACCTGTATTCTGTAACCTTTGTGGCTGGTAAATCAGAGAATGATTTAGAAACTTCAATTCTTGATTTAAAACAAGCTATTAGGAAAAGTTTCTTAGGAATTTTCTTCAGCAGACTATAGTCTCCATTTTCTGTTAAGGAAAGAAACTTTCTAGGGAGAGTGAGTGTGGAAAGTAGGTTGGGCAGGAGAGAGAAATAGTCTCTGGAGAAAGGTGGAAGGTTTTTGGACTACTCAGCCAGCCAAAAGCTGAAGATCACTAATTGCATAGCAGTGGATGGGGGAGTAGTAGGACAGTTTTATGTATGGTCTCCTGGGGAGAAAAAAAAACTATGAGAGAGGAGAAAATATCCCAGAATTCTTGCATTATAAATGGTAAAACCAAATAACAGTTTTTTGTGAGAAACTGATTAAAAACATGACAGAAAAGCGATCACAGATTCAGATCTTGAGGTGCAAGCATTTCCTATGTGCTTGTTTTTTGTTTGATTCTGATACTACAGGAGGCTGAATATTTGGGCTTAACTTTTGCCCGTCTTAGGTTAAACCCTATTCAGTAGGCACTTATTCTAGGTTTTGGACTTGACTGCATGGGCTTGAGGGGCTTTATATTTTAAATTGCAGCCTGGCAAAATAGGTTTGATGGTACTAAGCTTCTTCTTTTGTGTATTAAAAATGGTGTCTGTTCTGTGCGAGCCTTAGTACACTCATCATGTTTTCAAGAGAGTGTTATGAGCACATGTAGAAATATTCTTTGTTGTCACTGTCTGAGACTGGTAAATTCGGTTCTACTTCATTACTGCAAATAAATGCAGTCATTGGTCTCTTCTCTGAACTTTCTCTATGATTGACATCATAATAACTTCCTTTTGGAATTATGCAGTTAGGGTGTTAGGGATCTGTGTTAAGATGAGGCTTAAATCTTAGTTGCCTGTGCAACGATTAACTAAATCAGTTTCTAAATTTAACTGATGTAGTTAAATTTCTTCTTGAACTGTGTGTAGATTAGTCTCTAATGACATGATTTTTTTTTATACATGCAGCTTGTAGTCTCTGTAGATTACATGAACTATTTTAAAGTGTAGTTAAGAGCAATGTAAGTATTGGTAGGTTTGTTACATAAGTTAGTGGGGTGCGTAGAAGATCCATGACATCATAGGTGACTTCAAATGACAGCCTTTGAGAGTTGGAGTCAATGCCTTTGTGCCTATTGTTACCCTATCAGTTCTCAAAAACTCTGGTCTCCGATGGAGTCCTACAGGTCTTGCTCACTTTGATGTGATTCTCTAATAGTCTCAGGAAGGGTGCCAACAACCACGGTATTGCCTCCTGGAGCCTCACCACAGAGGTGGCAATAGCAGCCCTCTTTCTGCTCAGCAGCCAGCTGGTTACAGCTGTAGTTAAGAAATCTGTTCCTCTTGGATTGTGTGATATCATCAGCTCAATGAGTTTTAAACTAATAATTGCATTTCCCAGGAAAAGATTTTTTATTGCCAGTATAACAGCAACATCATTGCTGGGAGGGAGGCAAGTTTATAGTAGGTTCACTTCAGAATTCTGCTTCTTTCTTTATTTAAAGAAAAACGAAAGCATCGTGGACATTCTGGGATTTAAATTTTCCCTGTTGTTTTCACTTCAACATGTTCAGGTTCAAAATCTACTTACTAATGTTAAGAATGAACATCTAGGAAACTGTTTTGTTCAAAGCAATTTAATGATAGGGAAAGTACACAAAGTAGTTTGGTCCACTATGCTAAATATTTAGAAGCAAACTCAGGGCAAATTTCAGTCTAACCATTGTGGAACTGGACTGGGGAAAATAATCAGTCATGTGTTTTTCTTTGTAAATAGGTGCTGTAATTAATTTAAGTTTACTTTCTTTAAGTTCAAAAGAGTGATCATCAGGATCTAGATGGTTCCTTTCTTCTTTAAATTCAAGAACAAAATTAAAGCATATTTTATCAGTAGTCATTGCAGTCATACTTGTAAATAAAACATCAGCTTTTAAAGCTTCCTCATTTTTATGCACAGTTTGTGTATTTCAGAGGATGGGTCAGGTTGGAAGGGCCGCAGTGGGTCATCTTGTCCAACTTCCTTGCTCAAGGAGGGCCGTCCTAGAGCACAGGGCATAGGATTGTGTCCAGGTGGTTCTTGAATATCTCTGGTGAGGGAGACTCCACAATCTCTGTGGGCAATCTGTTCCAGTGCTTGGTCACTCACACAGTAAAGAAGTTCTTCCTTGTATT